GCAGGAAGTAGTCTACAATGGCCCAAGAGATAGTCGGCCAGCAATCATTCAGCTGCCAGAGTAGAGCGCCGCCACAGTGTCTTTCGTCTCCCCATTGGCGACGCCACCCGCGGTATCCGAACATCATTGTTTCGGCTTGGACAACCTGGGTGAGGTAGATGTAGGTCTATGTTGGACGGGTTAGCAATGCTAGTCAATTTGAGTAGGTAGGCACATACCTCGAGGTCAGTAGCAGTTCGCAGGTTCTCGACAAGGTAAGTGGCGATGCGACGTTCGTGTCCGTCGGCCTTGTTATGGAAATCAAGAACATGCGATTGCGGGTATTTGTCTTTTTCGTTCTCGACGAAGTATTCAATTGTTGACATGTGGGGAAAAGCCTCCATGCCAAATTCGCTATTGAATCGGCCACCTAGCGTGTCGAATATCTGATATTTCTCCTGCGTTCCATGCCAAACTATAGCCGTCAGTTTTTTGTATAAATTAGAGTGTGAGAGAATGTAGCAGACCATTCCATTGGTGCATATCGCCCACTGTGGGGTCTGATGTTACTTTCCCATCACCCCAAGGGCTACCTGGGTGGTAAAACGTGGTCGGTGAAAGGCGCTCAACCACTGATGGCAGCAACTTTTCGTAGATGTATCGGGCGGGAAAGTCTGTCTTTAGCCAGTTTTCGGGGTTTTTATCTTCGTAGTTATATTCGAGACCGGCTTGTTCCTGGACTTGGTAATCTTCGTTGTTACCGACATAGACCACAATGGATGGATGATGACGCAGGCGGCGGACGTTGTAAGCCGCCTCTTGTTCGATGGATTTCAACAGTTCGGGCCAAGTTGGGTAATTTCCACATCCAAACATAAAGTCCTGCCACACTAAAACACCAAGCTCATCACAAGCCTCGTAGAAACTGTCATCTTCGTAGCAACCACCACCCCAGACCCTGGAAGTTGTTAGTCCTAATTCTACATTTGAGCAAGGGAACAGACCTAATCATGGCTTGGCGGCCGGCAACCATCAGCTCGATCCATTTTCGATATCTCTCCGGAGTAATAGTGGGAAGTAGGTTGTCTGCAGGAATCCAGCATGACCCGCCACAGAATATATCCACGCCGTTGATTCGGAAGAAGAATGATTTTCCGTGCTTGTCAGGCCGCTGCACGACTTCTGCAGTCCTAATTCCAATCTTCTTGGTAACTCTATGGAGTTCAAGTTGATCGGTCTCCAATGAAGCTGAAATTTCGTAAAGAGTGGAATCACCATATCCGTGTGGCCACCAAAGGCGAGGCTGATCTATGTTGAACTCTACCTTTGCCCTCCCGTCTTGGGGTGTGGCTTCTGCTTGAGCAATTTGCTTGCCATGTAGAGTGATCGTGAAGTTGACCTTGTATGGGGGTTCAAGATCAACAAAGTCAAGCTCTGCAAATGCTGAAATAGAAGCACTCTTGTGAGTGGGGTCCAGATTGATCTCCGCCCAGAGATCTGCCAACCGTGTGGAATAAACTTCCAATCTCACTGCTCTCCAGATACCTGCCGTCATGAGGACCGGGCCCCAATCCCAGCCCCAATGGTATTGAGCCTTTCTGACGCTCATCCTCGCGGGATCCCCGTTGAAAGATGCCCAGTTGTGTTTCGGGTCCTGTCTCCGAAGTTCCTGGGCACGCAGCATCGCACAATCAAATTCAATCTCCAGAACGTGCTCGTCTCCGCAATCCAGAGCCTCGGTGACATCTACTCGATAGGCCTGAAACATGTTATTGCTTTCTAGGATAACACTGTTATCAAGTTTGACTTTGGCAAATGTATCAAGGCCATCGAATGCCAGGACAATCCTCGATCCTGCAAGGACAGTTGGCCTTTGCAGTATCTTGCGGTATGTCCATGACTTGTCGTTGACCCATCGTGCGTCTAGTTCATTGAATCCCACGTATGGGTTCTCCAGCCTGAGCAATATCCAGTCTGTACGTTAGCGACGTTTGCCGCGAAAGATTCCGTAATAGTACGCACTTTCCATTCGCCTGTAGGTCCTGGTGAACGACAGACGGAACGACAGGAACTGGCATCCATGTGTCTGAAGCAAGGTCATCCCTATCTTTGAAATACCACCCTGTTGACAGAGTGTATTGCGCGAATACTGCCATGGTGGGGTCTTGGAGGGGTAATTGATACAGGAACCGGCAATTGATTGCTGCTTCAACCCAATTTCAAGCCGGACAGTCAGAGCTCAATAAATAAGAAACCCCATAGCCTTCGAAACATACTACACAGCAATAGGTATGGATATAGTTGCATCCAGGGTCCAGGGTGAGGCTTTACAGAGTGGGTGCCTGGGGAAGCTATGCGGAGAAGTCCCCGCCTCCACGTGCTGCCATTTCCTTTTTGGGCGATCCCCTGACGGAGCACGGGGCCTTTCCCAATTGGGCATCGCTTCCTCTCCATCAACCATCAACTCTCCCACAGTTTACTCTGTATATTCTCTCATTCTCTCATTGTCGTGTAAAGGCCACACAATGAAGCTTGTTCTCATCGCCTGCTATCATTAGCCTCGGTACACAAAACATTTACATTTGCACTAATTAGGAATCCCTCTGTGACTAACACAATCATACTCTCCAAATCACTGTCTATCCGAAACCGCGCTGTGTCTACTGTGAGACACCTCGCTCCGACCTTACCCATTATGGCACGGCGGGTGCTCCGCACACTATTTTGGAATCGTCCTCCGGTGAGAGTCGTTCTTTATCGTCCGAAGATAGTACCTGACAGCTCTCAAGATCTCCAGATAAAACGATCGCCCGTCACCAACTCTCCAGTGACCACTTCACCTTTCTTTGCCGGCTTGGTTGCGGCCTTCAAGACGGTCCGGGCGCCCACCTTCTTAAGCGACCCCCATAATACGGCAAGGCCGTCGCGAGGTAACATCCTCCGGTCCTTCGCCACTAGCCTACCCCTCGTCGCTTGGAATTACGACTCCTCACTCCTCCTCTCTTTGCACAAGAGCAGGAGTGAGTCGACTACCTGAATCCTGAGCGCTAGTAACCGACGCACCCCTCCTTCTCGGCATTTTCGTGCCTGCTATCCATGATATAGGACCTCTGGGTAAAACGGCCCTGGCTATCCGATCAGGTGTCGCGCTGGCTTGGCGTGCATGTGAAAGGATAAAATGTCTCACTCTTGGCGTCTAGTGAAATTAGCCTGTTTACCACCGCTGCTATTGGTGAGTATTTCGGCGATTGGTTGTCATCTTCCCGACAAGCCGAGATGATTGTCGTGCACCGAATTCTCTGTCCCCTGAGACGGCTCGGTTCAGCCCGAGTTCCAGTTGTTGAAAACCTGACAAGACTGCCTCACAGACGTGATGTGCACTGTCAGTCACCCCAGATCTACACCAAGCGATTCTGGAAGACTACTACGTCTGGTTGTATGGCAAAATTGCAAGTGCACAAGAGCTTCAGCAGGCCTTCCAAAGTTAGACATAGCCAGTCCCCCGACAAAATTGCTCCGGCATCTGACACCTGCACGGGATTTAATTAATTTTGGAAATGAGGAACTGGCCACCTCATGCGGGGTCGTGCATTTAATTGGCGGAGGCACATTTCACCCAGCAATTAAACTGGACGAAGACCCTGGAAGTGGGCATAATCTTGTATAAACCCTGATACATTTTTGCCCCTCGGACGACATGGTGTAGGGCGACCCAGGAACAGTAAGCTTCCAGGTCGCGGATGAAAGGATAGTTCACCAAGCACGCCGATTACATCCGGCGAACCTTGTCAGACACACAGATGTTCTTACTTCTTGCCTGGCCATTAAGCAATCAGGTGGCACCACAATGTCTGAGCGTGGTGGACCGGCGTTGCTATACTCAGTCTCCCGCACTACTAGCTCTTGGGCTCAGGAGTAGCCGGCCCTAGCAGAAGCCCACTCCACTACTATCTTCTCTGGACCCCTGAGTTACACGTCTATCTTCTGAGCTTGATCTCCCATAGCCCGGTGTGATGATTCGTAAAATCGTATTGGGACAGTGCTGGGTGCAAGGGCAAATGCTTTAGATGTGGACTAGCGTACCAGATTTGCTTGGTCCGGCCATCTATTGGATGGTCACAACCTGGGGTAAAGCCCAGCATTTACAAAAGACAGAAAGAGCACTCGGAGACCCGGGGCTCACCGAGGGCCAGTGATAGGTGGAAGGACGCATCGTCATCACACTCAGGCGTGTATAATTCCACGCCGGACAGGGTTACTGGACCGATGAATTCAGGCGCCAGGAGAACAGACCACCATATGCTGTTTGCCGAGTCTGTGAGCGCATCACACAACCCTTCTCGTACCCTGCGTATAATTAGGCGCAGGGTTGAATATAGTAGGCAGCCAACAGGGTCTGCAGGTCGGTTCGTCTACCAGCATGCAGAAACCAGACAGAAACGGTCGCATCCTGCATAAAATAAATTAAAAGGACGAAATGCGGGGGTGGAGGCCATGCTGACCACTGGTGACCTGCGAGGGTTCTCGTCCAGGAACTTCCGTTGTTGGGCACCTCCTGCTTTCTCTCGGTGCAAACCGTGATGTTCCCAGCGTCAACGCTGCCGATGATCGTCTAACCCCGAGGCTGGCCTGCTCACTTCCCCAAAACAGGAGCTGAGTTCCCGCGTGGATATATTGTGTTTTTCATCCTCTTCGCCGTCTTCGTTTGATGAGCCTTTCTTTGCTTTTCTCCTACTTCTACCTCATTGTTTCCCCGGACAATGACCACTGCAGCAACTAACTGATTACCTGCATAACTGATTCGGACTACTTGCCCGGTCTATTCGATCCACTTGCTATTTCCCCCTCTGACAAACAAGGATCCCTGCCCTCCGGTGCATCTAACCTGCTGGTCTCCCTGCGACTCGGTGCCAATGGCCCTTTCGAGTTAATCTCGCCACCCTAAAGTGTCTCAACGGGTACACTTCCCGACTATCCGTCAAGCAAAAGTCTCCAGCAAACTATCCCCCGATCGCAAAGCAATGTTTCACACGTTCGAAGGGTTCGAGAACCCAACTCTTCCGACTACTGTGCGCGGACGCAACCAACGTCAACAATCTGTCGGACGCCGAGTTACTACCCTCCGGGCCTGCACATCTTGTCGGCACCGAAAAATTAAATGCGATGGAGAAAAGCCATGTGAAGCATGCAGATGGTATAAGAAAGCAGATTTGTGTCAGTACTCTGATCCTCGGCCATCTCGCAGGTGTGACTGTCCCTTTCCTTCACTGCAGCCGCGATCGAGGGACGACTCGAAACTAACAAATGTATCAATCAAGCAGGCATGTGGAGAAACTATCGACCACACTGGATGAATTTAGGGGAGTGCTTGACAAGCTCTTCCCAGGCATTCCAGCGGAGACCCTGGTCAACTTGCCTCGGGACAAACTCTTGGAGCTGACAGGCAAGGGAGCTTCCCAGATGCAGACGCAAGCGCCACACCCGGCATCCCCAGCAACCTCGGCATCAGTGGAGGCTCACGCATCTCCGGCATCCAGCGAAGACGGCAATCTCGAGTCTTTACAAACCATACCTGATCACACAACTGATGATCGCGAATTGAAGAGTTCCGAGCTCACGAGTACCGTGTCCGACGATGTCAACGCTTTATCTCTCTCGGCCAAACAGCCATCCTCCTATTTGGGTGTCTCTTCCATCCATGCTGTGTTAAAGGTGATAGTATGGCTGGAGCCGAGCTCCCTCTCTCACCTGTCTCGCGCACCTGCTACAGGAGTTCGTCGGGATTCAGTCATGGAAATTGCTTCTCCAGAGGCCCAGGCCTGGCAGGTCTTTGGGTCTCAGCCGCACCATGGCACATCAACTGTGCCCGAGTCTCAACTGCTCGACGCTTACTTTACCTACTTTCAACCATTCGTTCCAATGCTGGACGAACACTCTTTTCGCCAAACGTATCTTTCTTCACGCAGGAAGGACAAGCAATGGCTCGCATTGCTGAACATTGTCTTTGCTTTGGGCAGCATAGCAGCCACCCCTGCCGATGACATGTCTCATCAAACATATTATTTGCGGTCGAAGAGCCATTTAGATTTGGAAAGCCTTGGTTCACCGCACGTGGAAACCATTCAAGCTCTGGGCCTCATGGGTGGCTATTACCTCCACTATAGCAGCCAGCCCAACCTCGCATACTCCATGATGGGGGCGGCATTGCGCATGGCCGCAGCTCTGGGCTTGCACAAGGAAGTCTCGGATGGCCAATACGGCAACAGCAGGAATAGGTTATTTTCAGTTGATCACAAACGTCGAGTCTGGTGGTCTCTGTTCTGTCTGGATACGTGGGGTGGCATGACCTTGGGCCGACCAAGCATGGGTCGACTGGGTCCAGCGATCACCGTTAAATTGCCACATTACAGGGAAACAGTATGTCTCCCCCTTTATGATCTTAGGTTTTTTGCTGACCTATTTAGGGAAATGTGCTCGATCTTCTACCACTTCTGGAAAATGTTCGATTCTGCAAGATCGCGACCCAAATTCAGGAGGTCCTGGCCGTAGCACCGTTGACAAAGCCTCATGAAATGGCAAATCTTGACAGCCAGCTCCTTGAGTGGTATGATAACCTACCATATATCCTGAAAGACCACGAGCCATGCTCAGAGTCGATCGCAATCACGAGAACTGTCATGAAATGGCGATATTACAATCAGCGGATGCTCTTGTACCGCCCTACCCTGCTCAGCTACGCCATGCGGCGGGTACCATACATTGTGCTCAGGTCCGAAGAAAGGACAGCTATTGAAAGATGCAGGGAAATTGCCGAGGCTACCATACAGGATGTAGCTGCCAAGGCACAATTCCATCAGATGTCAGGCTGGAATGCAGTATGGCTTATCTTCCAAGCTGCAATGGTTCCTCTTCTAGGGCTGTTTCTCAACGATGGTACAGTTGATGATCCAAGAGCGACAGCTGAAGCGTGTCAGGCTCAGGTGGAAACGACAATGCTTGTCCTGGAGCGTTTGGAACCTTGGAGCCCAGCCGCCAAATCGACGCTGGAGGCCGTTTCCCGGATATTTGAGGCCGGTAAACGAGGCCACAATGTCACCGGGGAAGCCCACAGCATTCACAGCGGTAGCTGTGTGACGGCTACTGAAGATCTTGGCGCAGTGCCTGGGGTATCCCCGCTGCAAATCGACTTCGGTCGCGCAATGCCACACGAGAATGGATTTGTGGATCCGTTTGAGCCCCAATTTATCAATGATTCTGCTGGGCAGTATCTTTGGGACTTTCTTAGCTGGAGCGACAGTAACTTGTTGCAGGGTTTGGCTGATATTGACAATGTAAACAACGCACCACTGTTTCCCCAGGAGGAAAGAAATACAAAGTATGGAAGCAGCGAGAGTACTTATTTTGGAGGTCAATTGGGAGATTCAACATTTTTCATCAATTCAGGGCCGTCTTTCTACTAGGGTGGTGCAGCCTCATCGCTGCTGGTGTTCAATTCTGTCACATGGTGTTTTATTATTCGCTCGCTTGGTACTTGTTACAGCTCATTCACTATCTTAGCGGTTTCAGATTACATAGGTCATTCATGATTGATGCATTTACGGGCGATTCGGAGGATTTGTGCCGAGAACATGGTATCAGGATAGCAGAAGGTACTGCTTAGCAATATATTTTCAACCTTGAAGGTACAAACTAGCTATGGGTCAACACATGCTAATGAACTCTGATAGAGGAGGGCACCTCTTCATTATAAATCAAGAACACAAACACACATCCCAAATAAATCCACGCATTTCGATTCCCGCGTCAGAAATGTGAGGCGTAGTCATAAAAGAAAGATATTTTGAATGAAATCCTCCTCTTCAAGATACACAACTTCCTAATCGGGAAAGATCATCTTCCTGCTGACTCAGCACTGAACCGGTCACGTTTCCTCGCGTCGGGATAGCTTCATCTAACCAACCAGAACCCACGATGCCCACCAAATAGACATAGGATGGTGAGATCAGCGAATCTGTACATACTAGCTACTGTCATATTGTTCGGCGACCTACAACATCCCATCCAGCCGAAATCCTCATCACCAGGCTGCCACACGAGTAAGCTATCACCGATGAAGTAACCAACCACAACACCACCATCAAAATGCCCTCCAAAATGGCATCATCATCATCCTTCTTCCAATCCCCCACCCTAGTCTACACCTCCGCCATAGCTCTCCGCGCCATCCTCCTCATCTATGGCGCCTGGCAAGACGCCAACTCCGCCGTCAAATACACCGACATCGACTACCTCGTCTTCACCGACGCAGCCCGCTACGTCTCGCACGGCGCCTCGCCTTACGAAAGAGACACTTATCGCTACACGCCCCTCCTAGCATGGCTACTCCTCCCGACCTCCTGGTCGGGCCCATCTCTTCTCTTCTCCTTTGGAAAGGCCCTCTTCGCCCTCTCCGACGTTATCGCCGGATGGCTCATCGCTAGATCCCTCGTCTCCGCGTACGGAATGGACGCTCCTCGCGCCTTGAAGTACGCTAGTTTCTGGCTTCTGAACCCCATGGTCGCGAATATTAGTACCCGCGGTTCCTCTGAGGGGCTGCTCGGAGTGCTGGTCATTGCTCTGCTGTGGGCGGTTCTCCGTAGGAGGGTCGTGCTGGCGGGTGTGTTGCTGGGACTGAGTGTGCATTTTAAGATCTACCCGTTTATCTACGGAGTGTCGATTATTTGGTGGTTGGATCGGGAACGAGACGGCGGCAGCAGCAGCACGTCAAAGAACACTGCTGGGAGTGAAGATACCAGCATCGTCACCAAGTTGATCAACTTCATCACTCCCCCACGCATCATCCTCACCCTGACTTCCCTCATCACCTTCACTCTCCTCAATCTCCTCATGTACCACCTCTACGATACCCCCTTCCTGCAACATACCTTCCTCCACCATCTCACGCGCATCGACCACCGCCATAACTTCTCCGCCTACAGTACCCTCCTCTACCTCTCTGCTGCAGGCGAGGTGCAGGGGAATTTTGAGTCATTGGCGTTCATCCCGCAGTTACTTCTTTCTGTTGTGGTCATTCCGCTTGTCCTGGCGAAGAAGAGTCTTCCTGGCGCGATGCTCGCGCAGACGTTTGCGTTTGTTACCTTTAATAAGGTTTGTACGAGTCAGGTATGCACCCCCTCCCTCGCTAGTTTAGTACGACGAAAGAAGAGCTGATAGGAATTGTTACAGTATTTCCTCTGGTACCTCATCTTCCTACCCTTCTATCTACCGGGTTCTTCGATGTTGAAGGCTCCGCGGTTTGGGGGCGTTGTTGCGGCTGCGTGGGTTGTTGGGCAGGTATGTTCAATCCCCATCCCATCCCCTCACCTTCACGTTCATTTCTATATCAAATACTTATATATGGATGGTACTGATTAATGAATGTGTGGCAGGCACTGTGGCTGCAACAAGGATATAATCTTGAGTTTCTGGGGTTGAGTAGTTTCATGCCTGGGTTGTTCTTGGCTTCGTTGGGGTTCTTTGCCGTTAATGTTTGGATTCTGGGGGTTATTGTTCAGGATGTGGGGGCTACTTCTTCTTCTTAGTTGGGTGGTTGTTTGTTTCTTTCACTAGGGTAGGTCGGTTTAGGGTGTGGTGTGGTTATGGGGGATGGTGTTGTAATTACTTATGGGAGATAGATGGGAGAGGTATGTTGAGTGTAGTGGAGTTGGGTATGGACTATATAATAAGCATGATGTTGGTTAGGACAACATTGGTATTAGACTCTTTTGATTTATTGAATGAAAGATCATGTTTGAAAATCAAGGTTATATATATTATTCAACTCATATTTACTACTGAATTACGTATGTTCCAGGTCCTCAATGGATGTATGCCACCTCAACACTTAAGTTGGAAGACACAAATCTAGTACGTCGCTGGTCAGAATAATCCGCTCAATATCAGCACTTCTTCGGCACAACCACAGTCATGGAAAGACTGGATCGCAATTTGACATCCGTGCTAGTTCGACTTGCAAAAACAATCAAGAGACCTATGAAGGGAAGAAGAAGGTAATAAATTAGTATAGTAAATAAGCGGTAGGCAGAAGGTATAAGACATAAGCCCCGCAGTTAGTAGATCAATCAGTCATAACTCCGTAGAATGCATTACAGCTCTTTCTTTGCGCGGATTTCCCTGGGTGGCCGGAAGTTGCCGGACCGCAGCTCCTGCCACGCCAGGTCGAATCGTGCACCGAGTAGCCAGGCAGTGAAGATCTAGTCCGGTTAGATGGTTCAGTGATACGTAAGGTGAGGCACATACCATAACAATCGAGGTGATGAACACAATCACCACCATCAGACCCATCATAAAGTACATGTCCTTACGGGTCTCAGCGTGCTCCTCGGCCTGCTTCTTCTCCGCCTCTGTCAGCTCGCCAGTGATACGACGCTTGGCAGCCTCCGCGTTCTGGCTGGGGAAGATGGTTTCGATCCATTTTTCAATCTGTGATTGTTAGCAAGGCTCAACAGAAAGGATATAAATGGAACATACCCGTCCACAAACAAGGCTGATCTTAAGGAAGTTGGGGTCCTTGGGAGTGTTCTTCTTGTGAATCTTGCGCGCATACTTGCGGAAGGCAGCACAGAGAATACGCAGGTTCTGCGTCGACTCGAACATCAGCTGGCAAGCCTCACCCTTGGTGATCTTGATGTTACGCTCGAAGATCGCGGGGTTGCGGAAGCAGAGTTCCAGCGTGGCAATGGCCATGGATTGCGGGATAGCGCAGAAGTTGAACACACTCTGCTCACGCAGACCAGCCAGGTAGAACAGGCAGTCTTCGACGTGCTCCAAAGCATTCAACACCATCTCGGAGCTGCAGTTTAGTGCAGCTTCGCGGTGCTCAGGCTTGAACAGGTCTTCAAACTTGGTGACGTGCTTGGACCAAATCTCTTTGGGCCAGAAGCGACGTCCATCATCGTCGTCCTCTCGGATGTCTCGGATGATGTTGGTCTTTTGGAGGAAGAGTCCCATGGACTTGTGCAGACGCGCGCGTTCCAGCAGGGCAGGGTTACCAAACTCGGCCTCGACGAAGAGGCGCGTCAGTCCTTCACCGACCAAACCAGCGACGTAGTAACAGTACAGGTCGTATTCCTCGACGGTGATCACACTGGCGTCATCAAAGGCCGCCTTGCGACAGTAATCGGCCATACCGTTGCCCATCTTGTCGGTAATGTCCTTGATGATGGCCTGGTAGGCGGGTTTCATCTTCTTGAACTCGGTGATGACATTGTGAAACTGAACCAGCAGCTCACGGTCCTTCTCCTCGGGGCGGTTGCCATTGAAGGTCCAGCCATCCTGTTCCAGGAAGTCCTTGAAGCCACGCAGCAGAGGTTCCTTTGTTTCCAAAGGAATCGACGTGTCGTCTTCGATTGTGTCCAGCCCGCGAAGTGTGAGGTAGAAGACGCAGACGGGCATCAACAGCTCCGGGTGGAGCTCCTTGATGACAGCGCTGAAGCTCCGACTGGTCAGGTCGAGGAATTTGAAGCAGGCCTTCTCAGTCTCGGTCTCGTTCTTCTCATTGCGCTCATGAACCGGGGAGTGCCAGATCTTCCTATGACCACGGGCAAAGCCTTCGTAAGCGTTGGCACAACACACTAAACCCCATCATAGCCGGTCGAGGACAAGGGCCGGAACCAACCATTGCATAATCGACCTCAATTCCGAGGGATGAAAGGTGTAGTAGATGGCATTCGATGCGAGACCCATGGTGAAGGGTAGATTACGATCGAACGGTCAAAAATGACGGGATGGGGAAAAAAGAATTAGGGTAAAATGGGGAATTATTACACGTAAGAAGAAAGGGAATGGAAGCAATGCGGAGAATGACCGAATCAACGGAATTCGCGAGGAAAGAAAGGGATGGGATGGTACAATAATGTACAAGCACAGCGAGCGAATGCCTCACTGGCTGAGGAGGATGAGGTGGAGAGGAGACGGGGAATCCAGTCAAGCAGACGGAGGAATGTAGGAGTAGGAGGGAAGGAGGAGGGAGGAGAGGGAGAGGGAGAGGTAGAAGTGTAGAGGAAGAGGAAATAAGTAAACAATTGGGAGGAGAGGGTAAATCAGGGGGGGAGGAGAGGAAGAGGAGGGAGAAGGAGGAATAAACAGAAGACGAGGAAGGAAAAGAAAGAAGAAGAAGAAAAGAAAGCGAAAGAAGGAAAATTTTAAAGGCCCGCTTGAAAGGCGGCGCGGCTAGCGGCTCTGGCTGGCGGCTGAGCGCGTGCAGGCGCAGATGCCGGTATTACCACGGCAAAACACAGATACATGACATGTTTGTAGTATAAAGTAGAGAATGCGACTATTGTATTACCATACGTGACAGCCTACCCGCCTCAGGCCATCTACATTGGCAAGTGACTGTTTTGTCTCCCCGCCATGACGGAAGAAATCCAGCGGAAAACTAAAAGCCAAAATAACATCA